GTGCACATAAGAGATAGACAACAGATACTAATACCAACCAATGTGTCCACAATACTGCATTGCCATTAACACCAAACACTAGGCTATACAGATAAATAATAAACACCTGAGATGACCAGATGGGGGTCAGTGAACAGAGGTACACTCTAGACCAAGGATAGATTCAGCTGAGGCTAATCTTGCACAGACACCACTGATACAAAATACCTGCAGTCCTTACAGAAACAATAGAAAACAGACAGAGTAATCCCTCACAGATAACCAGACACTATGGGAGAGAGAGCCAATAGATCTGCTGTCTCAGGACCATAATACTGGGGTACACCAGACTCAGTTGGCACAAGAAAATACATAAAAGCATTGCTTCACATCCTACATTGGTAAGTAGCGACTGGGGTCTTAAAAGCTTTCAAGTGGCCATCTAAGATGCAGCTAACGGTCTCCTAGCATCGGAAGTGAAGAAAAATGCAAAAAACGGGGGGTGCATTTAGAAGCAATCAGCCCTAGGACACGATGGCCCTCGAGACCAGAACTAGATGGTGCCCAGCTACCAATGCCAACCACTCAGGAAAGGATGAAATCTGGAGATCCTGGATAGAGTGGGAGGGAAAACGTGGAACAAAATCCAAAAACTCAATAATGACCAGAATTACTGGTCAGATGAAATCTGGTGAGATTCCCAATACTATGGCCCTGGAATACATTCTGCGCCTGGAATAAAATGCACCCCCAGGGGCGGGCTCTCAGCCCAATAGTTAACAAGATGTACACGCAGACCACTCAACCCAGGAGGATGCACCCACATACTCTATGGTAATACATCCCTTAGAGCAATAGAGCACAAGACCCCAGAGGACCAACATTCAAATTGAGAAAATGCGGGACAAACAGGAGTGCATAAAAATGGGGGGCACAGGGGAAGGGTTACAGTGTAGGGAGGGGAGGAGACTGGGTTAGGGTTGGATACGGTGAATGGGAAATGAAACTAAATGTATGCATTACTTTGAATGTAAAACAAGCTCTTAAAATAAAAAAAAAAATTGAAAAATGAAAAAAAATGAAATGGAACATCTAAAGATCTCCATTCAAGGTACACCACCAGAGCTCCCATTCTAGGTATTAGCTAAAATGGACTGATGTTGGCCATTTTGAATCAGATGATCATATTATGGTCAACTATGCCAGGAATGACAATTTGAAGAAGAAAGATATCACATTTATTGTCAAAGAGAGCATTTCAAGCTCTATCCTGAAACAGTGCTGTCAGTGATAGGATAACATCCATATGTCTACAAGGAAGGCCAATTAATATGACTATTATTTAAATTTAGGCACCAACCACTAAAGCCAAAGATGAAGAAATGGAAGACTTTTTTACAACTCCTGCAGTATGAAATCGACCAAATATTCAATCAAGATGTATTGATAATTATTGGTTATTGGAATGTGAAAGTTGGAAACGAAGAAGCAGCATCAGTGATTGGAAAATATGGCCTTGGTGATAGAAATGATGCCAGAGATCGCATGATAGAATTTTGCAGGATCAAAGACTTACTCATTGCAAATACTTTTTTTCAACAACATCAATGGCGAGTATACACACGGACCTCACCAAATGGAATACCCAGGAATCGAATCAACTACATTTTGTAGAAAGAGACAATGGAGAAGCTCACTATCGTTAGTCAGAACAAGGCCACAGACCAACTGTGGAACAATCAATTGCTCATATGCAAGTTCAAGCTGAAGCTGAAGAAACTTCAAACAAATTCACTAGAGCCAAAATATGACCTTAAGTATATCTCACCTTAATTTAGAGACTATCTGAAAAATAGATTTGACACATTGAACACCAATGAGTTGTGTAAAGACATCAAGGACATCATACATGAAGAAAGCAAAAGGTCATTAAAAAGATAGGAAAGAAAGAAAAGACCAAAATGGATGTCAGAACAGACTCTGAAGCTTGCTCTTGAATGTAGAATAGCTAAAGTAAATGGAACAAATGATGAAATAGAAAAGTTCACAGATGATTTCAAAGGGAGAATTGAGAAGACAAAGTATTACAATGAAATGTG